AGAGCTTTCGGCCCATCAACATTCCTGAACTGGTCAGAGGAAAATAAAATGGTTGGTCAGTCCCCTCGCATCACCTGCCAATGCACATTATAAAATATTGTTGCCTCGATTAGAAACATAGCTAGGGCAATTAGGTGGTGTGGTGGATAGACGGCTGGAATTAGAGGCGAAGAGAGCTGTGCTCACATCCAGATAGATATTAGCTGTGTGATCCTGGGCAAGTTACTTAACATGCCTTGGCTTTCATTTCCTCATCTGTGAAATGGGGATAATAATAGCACCTACCTCTCAAGGTTGTTGCAAAGAGAAAATGAAATAATATTTGTAGAGTGCTTTATAAGCCTTAAAACATAATATTAATATAATATATTAATTATAGTAATAATAAAGTAATAAATGATAAAAATAAAATGTTGGGAGTATTAAAATATATCAAGTATATATAAAATATATTAAAAGTATAAACATAATAATATATTATGATAAAATATTTTGGTTGATATATTTAATGATTAATACATTGTATTACTATTGTATATTAATTATGATAATAAATAAAACATTGTATTACAATGATTGATACTATATTAATGATAAAATATTATGTTAGCAGGTATTATTATTATTATTATTATTGTAGAAAGAGAAGAAGGCCCAGGAGAAAGGCCGGAGGAACATCTGTGCTAATGGATTGAGAGAGAGAGAGAGAGAGAGAGAGAGAGAGAGAGAGAGAGAGAGAGAGATGATGACACAGTAAAGACACAGAGAAGGGATGATCAGACAGGTGGGAAAAGATCCAAAGGACCATTGTCAAGGAAGCCGTGGGAGGAGTGGGTATTTCTTTGGGCTTTAAGTAATGGCTCTCCAGTAATCTGGAAGTTTTGAGATTATTTCTCCTTTCTCTTATGCAATTCTTTGTTTATTTGTTTTTGGCTAGGCAATGGGGTTAAGTGACTTGCCCAGGGTCACACAGCTAGTGTCAACTGTCTGAGGCCGGATTTGAACTCAGGTCCTCCTAACTCCAGGGCTGGTGCTCTATCCACTGCACCTCCTAGCTGCTCCCTTCCCTTATGCAATTCTTTGCAGAATTATGACCCCGCCCCCACTTAAAACTGAACACCCAATTTCAAAATCAAAGACCAGGTTTCATCTGAGCTAAAGGGAGTTAGGATTAGAATATTCTTAATCTCACTTCTCGGTGACTCCTTCTGAAAACACAGGAAACAAAAATGGCCAAAACCCTTCTGTTCCATGAAGGAAGAGAAAATATTCTCACTTTCTTGTCAAATGTCAGTCTTCTGATGGAATCAGTTACTTTAAAGGGTACCATTAAGAGGTTCCATGCTCTGCTGAGGGCAGAGAATCTGTACACTTAGATTTTTCCATATCTTCCAGCTAAAAATGTTAGCAGAATACTCATCCACAGTGAGCCTTTAGATCTGTAGATTGGAATTACAAAGCAAAGGCTAATTAATTTTTATAACATGTTGGAAGGGGCCCAGAGATGAAATATTATTATACCCATTTCACAGTTGAAGGAACTGAGAAGTCAGGCAAATTAAATGCCTGAGGCTACAGAGTGAGTCAGTTGTTGAAGCAAGATCTCAATTTAATAGTTTCTCATTCATAGGCCTATATTGTTACAAGTAGCTTTCAAAAAAAAATAGTTTATTTGTTCCTTTGTACTACAGGTGCATGACTCCTAATTTGTTGTGTTTTTGAAAAATGGTCTTAATGTTGCCTTTTCTTTTGATAAATATTCATTTCCCCTCTACCACTGTCCTCTAAAATTGAAGCTTTGTTTGAAACAAAAACAGTATTTAGGTAAAGCCACAGCAACTAGTCTGATGGTCCATGTCCACCTTTCTGCTGAGAGAAAGAAGGCATGAGAGCCAGAAAGGACCTTAGAAGACATCTAGTTCAACCCCTCATTTTACAGATAGGGAAACTGAGTCCCAGGAAGGTTAAATGCCTTGTCCAAGATCACAGGGTCACAGGGTCACAGATTTAGAACTGGAAGGGACCTTAGAGATCTTCTAGTCTGACCCCCCCCCATTTCATAGGTGAGGAAACTGAGCTCCCTTGCCCAAGGTTATTCAAATAGTAAGTGATACTCAGGATTTGAACCCAGTCCTTGGACTAAAACTCCTGCATCCTTCCTACTATATCATGCTGCCTCCTATCCTTTTAATTTCTCCAGAATAAAAGCACTTAGCTGTACAATTTTTTTCTGTACTACTAGGTCTCCTATGTATTCAAAGCTGTGTAGAAATAATCTGTGCTTCTGCTTTTTTAAAATTGATGCTTTTTAACATTTTGTTTGACACAGCAGCCAAGTTCCAAGAAGCAATCCCACTACACGCGCGTGCACACACACACACACACACACACACACACACACACACACACACGTAAAACCACTTCAAAAAGTGCCTGGGATGTAAAAACAGTATGGTGTCAATATAAAGCTGAGTCGAGAGTCTGGAAGAGACCTCCATTTAAATCCTAACTCAGACATTTACCAATTGTGTGACTCTGAGCAAGTCACTTATCATCTCTCTGCCTCAGTTTCCTCATCTATAAAATGGGGGTAATAAAACTGTAGCAATTACCTCACAGGGCTTTTGGGATGATTAAATGAGGTAACATAGGTGTAGTTCAGAGCCTCTGGGCTCATTCTCCCAATCTTCACTAACACTAGATGTTTGTGTCCACAGAGCAAGGCTACTACTTCTCCTCTGTAGGTTCTAGAGGCAACCCTGGGAAATTAGGTGTGTTCTAGTTCTGTCATTCACAAGCCCCCAGCCAGTGTGTTTACCCCAATATCAACAGCCAATTGATATCTTCCCAATATCAATTGACCAGTTAACACCAATTAGCTGCAGGATATACGGGCTGCCCACAAAGGTTATATATGTTGACATGGGTTGGCTAAATGAGACCTGAAGGGAGGCAATGAGAGATCTCTCTGGAATATTGCCCATACCTATCCAGAGGAGACTGATTTTACCTGGTGAAGGGCAGGAGAAGGGGCTATCAGGTTAAGCTGCTCTGTTCTTCTGAGAGAGAGAGAGAGAGAAAGAGAGAGAGAGATGTATTGGAATAGAGTTAAAGTTATCTGCCTCCCCTAAATATTGCTGATCCAGGGGAATGATTGTTTTTTAGGTTCAAGCTGCTTTCTTGGTTACTAACATTTAAAGGAGTAAACTTACCCTCACAGACTTAATTCTTTTTCACCAAATGCTAGTTACACAAAAGACCATGACAAGTAATGAATAGGAAATAAAGCCACTTATCCAAGCAGAGATCAAACATAAATTGGAGGCGTTCTAGAAACCAGAATATACCAGAAAACACAGAGTGAATGAGCTCTCCCACTGCAAGTTGAGATAGCTCAACAAAGAAAGAGCTCCTGATCTCACTCCAGGGGAAATTCCCTGAAGTCTTTAGGGAGACAAACTGGAACTCTGGGACATGATATGACACTGAGCATATTTCAAGCCTGTTGCTTCCCCAAAGTCTTTTCTCTCTTTCACTGGACTCAGTCCCAAAGAGAGTCTAGAATCTTGTGTGTTTTCTCTTAAAGTGGGAATGAAGACTATCTATCTTCTCCAAAGCTTCCTCAACAATCCCACTCCTCATACAGCATTGAATCATTCTCCTCACCACTGAGAACCTCATGCAAATAGCCTACCCAGTCTTCAAACCCAGATTACATAGCTTTTACAAAAGAACATTTATTCAGAAGGTATATCAGGCACCAAAGGTACCACATCTCCCCTGATCAAGGGTACATTCATCTCTCTACATACCCAGTTGGTCCCTGAGACTGGGCTCAAACTTGAAGTGGTAGGACAAAGTATCCTCCCTCCCCACCCCTCCCCAGCACTTTGATTTCTGGGTGTGACATAGCTGATGGATGAGTAGCTTCCTTGTTTGCAAGACATAATTAATTGGCTGCCATGGCTATTTACTACTGAGCTGGGTCAAGCAGGGGGCTTCTCACTAGACTCAGATTCCATGGCTACCAGTAGACTCTACTATGGCCTGTAGTTTCTAAACTGGCTCTTCCAGCCTTCCAAAGCTCAGTGTTGTAACCTGATCTGTTCCATCTCTACTATTTATTCACCTAAGATCAGGAAAGAATAAAAAAGAAAAAGAAAGTTGCCATACATTTACAGCCATATGGTAGGTGGGTGGGGAGATAAGGCAGCCACTGCATAGCTTACCAAATAGCATGTTCTACCTAGAGGTAAGGTCCATAGCACTTTTCCCCTCCTCACTGGAAAGTTATGAGGAGAGAGAGGGAGAGAGGGAATGGGGGAAGGGAGAGGGAGGAAGAGAGAGAAGGAAAGAGGGAGGGGGAGAGAGAGGGGGAAAAGGGGGGGAAAGGGAGATTGAGAGAGAGAGGGAGAGGGAGGAAGAGAGAGAAAGAGAGAGAGAGAGAGAGAGAGAGAGAGAGAGAGAGAGAGAGAGAGAGAGAGAGAGAGAGAGAGAGAAAGGGGGGGAGGGAGAGGGAGAAAGAGAGAGAGAGTTCTTCCAATCAAATCTTTGCTATGCATACTCAGTTCTGGCTCAGCAGCCAGTTAAAAGGCTTTTTGTCGCTGCACAGTGAGTCAATAGGTTGTTGTTTGTGCTTTCCTCTCAAAAAGGACCATGACGTCAAGAAGGTGATGCCATGACATGCAGATGAATTGGATTTAAGTGAGGGAGGGCTGTGCAAAGTCACCAGCCTCACTTTCTCCTCCAGAGCCATCTGCATCCAGTGGCAGGATATAGATCAGGATGACTGGAGATGGCCCAGGATGCAGTGGGAGACATTGGCCTTTTTAAGCTAAGGTCTTTAACAGGTCTCAAGCTGACTGAGGCAATACCCATTTAGTGATTAAGGCTAGGAAAGAAATGAGGCAGAGAATGAATGGCCTCTTTTACCTAGTCAAAAAAAGAAAAAATCAATTTGGGAGGAGAAGACCCTCAAGGTTTCTGGCCAAAACAGAAAC